AGGATAGAGAAGAAAATCTTTGCAGCCAGACGGCTAGTTTTAAACTCCACTGCATCTTTTTGAGCGGCTTGATCACAGCTGAACAACTCACTGTGTATGTCAGTTCGTTTCTTCGTTTATGAAAGAGGCTGTGGATTCTGTTGTACAGAATTGAGGTGGATTTGAATCAGGGATCTTTTATGAGGCTTAAGATTGCCCAAGGGCCTAGTCCATGTCAGGCAGAATCTCCGACATTAGAGAATCAGAGGGACAGAGAACAAACATAGTTTACTAGAACTTACATTTTAATAGGAGACGCAGACTTTTTGTTGTTGTTGTTGTTTTGTTTTTATTTTTCGAGACAGGATTTCTCTGTGTAGCTTTGGAACCTGTCTTGGCACTTACTCTGTAGACCAGGCTAGCTCGAATTTACACAGATCCACCTGCTTCCCACGTGTTAGGATTAAATACATATGCCACCACCACCCAGCAAGATGCATATTTTTTAAACATAAATATTATTATTTTAATTTTGTTTTGTGATTTGAGACATGGTCTCACTATATATGTAACTCTGGCATCCTGGGACCCACTATGTACATCAGGTTGGCCTTGAACATACAGAGATCCATTGGCCTCTGCCTCAGAGTGCTGGAATTAAAGGTGCACATCGCCACAACCGGCTATTTAATTTTTTTTTTTTTTTGTTTTTGTTTTTCGAGACAGGGTTTCTCTGTGGTTTTGGAGCCTGTCCTGGAACTAGCTCTGTAGACCAGGCTGGTCTCGAACTCACAGAGATCTGCCTGCCTCTGCCTCCCGAGTGCTGGGATTAAAGGTGTGCACCACCATCGCCCGGTGGTGCTTTACTTGCATGTGTGTCTCTTTACCATGTGTGAGTCTGATGCCTGAGGAGGCTGGGAGAGGGCATCTGATCCCATGGGACTGGAATGAGACATTAGTGAGCCATGATACAGGTGGTGGAAATCAAACTGGGATCCACTGGGAAGAGCAGTTGGTGCTCTTAACCGAGCCCTCTCTCCAGCTCCATGATTTAGTTTATTCTGAATCATCTGTGTGTGGGTATGTGCACACGAAAGCTAGAGGGATGGGATCCCTGGCACTGGAGTTACAGGTGGCTGGGAGCTGCCTGATCCCGGAGCTGGGAGTTGAACTCGAGCCTTCTGGAAGAGCAGCCTGTGATCCTATCCGCTGAGACATTTCTCTAGCCTGGAGAGAAGGCACGTCTCTTGGTGTAGGGAGGAGAGTTCCATCCTAAGGCTGGCTAGTACGCTAAGCACAAAATAAAGGGGGAGGGGACAAAATTTATCCAAGAAGGGAGATTACAAAGGTGGGACACGTTGCTCACTGGCTGAGCTACGGTTTTACATTGGAGGTATAAACTCGGCATTTGCTCACCAACACTGAAGAAAAATGGTAAATAATGCACACAATGCCCATTCACGTGGGAGACGACAGTGTCGAGGAACTGAACTGCGTGGGACAGACGAGATACAGCAGGGCACGCAGTGTGTGTGCGAGAGGCAGCAGGGAGACCACCAGCGTCCTCTGTGTCTCACAAAGGCGCTTTCTGTCTATCCTAAGAAAGAGAAAGCATGCATATTTACAACCACAGGCTGTGGGTTTAGAGAGATGGCTCAGTGGCTAAGAGCACTGACTGCTCTTCCAGAGGTTCTGAGTTCAATTCCCAGCAACCACATGGTGGCTCACAGCCATCTGTAATGGGATCTGATGGCGTCTTCTGGTGTGCAGGCATGAATGCATGCAGACACACATAGGTAAATACATCTTTATAATAACAGGTTGTGAGCAAACTTCCATTCTGAAAGGGCCCATCCGGGCTGGGAAGTAGTGGCCCAGATGGTAAAGTGGCTAGGTTGACTAGTCAGTGAGCTTCCAGCTTCAGGGACCCCACCCCCCTCCAGTGCTGGTATCACAGACACGTGCTGCTCTTCCTGCCTTTTTTTTTTTTTCCCCAAGACAGGGTTTCTTTGTGTATCTTTGGCTGTTGAAGACCAGGCTGGCCTTGAACTCACAGAGCTCTTCCTGCCTCTGCTCCCAGAGTGCTGGGATTAAAGGCGTGTCCACCATGTATGGCTTTTGCCAGGCTTTTATATTGTGCTAGAGATCCAAACTCCTGTCCTTATATCCAGTCCTCTACACCTACGCACACCTCCGTGCACACACATACAAAAGCCTCTGATTGCTTAGGTGCCTACATCGAGCACACAACATAGTGACTCCTTCCTTCATCTTCCCCTCAAAGGTCCTGCGGATACTAAAATTGCTCCGTTCTGCTAGCTGCTCCTTCCTCCTTAACCCCTGTGAACTTCAACATTTCCACAGGACAGGTGCAGTGAGTTCCTGTCCGGCCTCTCCATCTCCAGTGCCACCGCCACACAAGCTTGGTCTTATTTGGTCCTCACAACACCCTTGACACGTAAGCAAAGCTACAATGCTTGCCTTCCTTTTTCCAATGTGGAAATGAGGGCTACCGGCACTAGACACACTTGTGGCTGCTTCTCAAATTCAGTTCTTAAGTTTCTGGCTTTTTTTTTTTTTTTTTTTTTTTGAGACAGGGCTTCTCTGTGTTAACAGTTCTGGCTGTCCTGCCTCTGTAGACCAGGCTGGCCTCAAACTTAGGGATCTGCCTGCTTCTGCCTCCCAAGTGCTGGGATTAAAGGCACGCACCACCACTGCCCAGAAGTTTCTGGAAATTTGTAAGCCAGTGGTTACACATAATAACTTCTTGGCCTCCTGCCTAACATCAAGTGCTGTTAAATATAGTTGCTGGGCTGGAGAGTTGGCTCAGTGGTTAAGAGTGCGGGTCGCTTTTCCAGAGGGCCTGTGTTCTGTTCCCAGCACCCACGTGGTAGTTCACAACTGCCTGTAACTCTAGCTCCAGAAGATCTGATGTCCTTTTCTGGATTCTGAGGGCACCAGGCAGGCATGAGGTACACAGACAATACATGGAAGAAAATCACTCATATCCATTTAAAAAACAAAACCAAAAACATAGTTACTATTCAAAAATAAATTGTATAAACTTATAGGACTGGAGGTATAGCTTAATGGTAGAATGTTTACCTGGCATGCCCAAGGCCCTGGGTTCAATCCCCAGCAATATATATGTGTGTGTGTGTGTGTATATAAAATGTCATATATTATATGTTATATATATGTATATACACATCAAAACACGAACATCATAGCTGGATGGTGGTGGCATACACCTTTAATCCCAGCAGTCAGGAGGCAGAGGTTGGAGAATCTCTGAGCTCCGGGCCAGCCTGGTCAACATAGCAAGTTCTAGGTCAGCCAAGCTATGTAGAGAGACTCTATCTAAAAAAAAAAAAANAAAAAAAAAAAAAAAAAAAAAACCCAAATAAACAATAACAAAACGGAGGTACTACATCCTTAAAACATGTAATATTTATTACATTTATTTATTTTGTGTGGTTTGTGTCTGCATGTACCATGCGTGTACATGGAGGTTAGAGGATGACTTTAAGGAGTGGTTCCTTTTTTCTACCATATGAGTACCAGGGATAGAACTCAGGCTTAGCAACAGTGTCTTAACCCATTGAGCTATCTTGGTGACTCCAAACTCATGATTGTACCTATGCTCTTGGGATTATTTAAGCTCATTGTATGTAATGAAATCACCACAGAAAAGATGGCACATTAAAGCCAATGTCCTCCTTAGTCAGTAAGATGATTGGGTGGATACTAGTCACTGCGCAAGTGCTACAAGCCAGTGCTTGCTTTGTTGTTTGCTAGTCGCCTTGACTTAAAAAGTGATGGAGGAGCTGGGCTGTGGTGATGATGCAGGCGGCACGTGATTTTAACCCCAGTGTTCGACGGCTGAGACAGGCAGAGTTTAAGGCTGGTCTGCTCTACCGAGCGAGTTCCAAGACAACCAGGGCTTGGAACTGTACCTCCTCAAAAAAAAAAAAAAAAAAAAAAAAAGAAAAGAAAAAAGTGATGGAGGAAATTAGAGAGATAGTCAGCAGTAGCAGCATGCTCTGCTCTTGCACAGGACTGGAATTCAGCTCCTGGAAAAATTACAGCCCTAGGGGATCTGATACTCTGTTCTGGCATACACTGGTGTACGTGCTCGCTCTCTCTCTCTCTCTCTCTCTCTCTCTCTCTCTCTCTCTCTCACTGTCTCACACATACACACACAAACACACACACAGACAGGCACACATTGTTTTAAGTGATGGAGAATATGAGTTGCATTTTTGATTTATACCTCCTGTGCATTTGTAGGTGTTACATTAGGAACAACAACAAAAAGTTGAAGAAACCCTTCTAGACATTGAAACCAGTTCTGGTTCAGCAAAGTTGTCTCCATTATTGACAATTGGATCAACTTTGTCTTTGTTCTTTTTTACTGTCTTGCATCAGTAGAGGAAAATATTTTTGTTACAGTTACACTCCTTGGTCACTTGTAACCAGTTTGGGAAGGGCTGGGAATGTGGTCTGGCGGTTGAATTGATCTTGGCATGTGCCACATCGTGGATTCTATCCTCAACATGACACACACACATAAACACACACACTAACTACATACACATCCTTTCTTCCCCCAAAGAACCAGTAGTTTAAACACGGAACAGCACACCGCCGGATCTAGAACACATTTTCATAATTCGTCGGATGCCAGAAAAGAGGACGCAGATTTAGTGAAATGACTTGGCCAAGGTCACACACCCAGAACAGCACAGATAGGACAAGACCCACAGACAGTGCCAAGGGCTGCGCCCCTCTCCCAGGTCCAGACTCGGGTCCCAAGGCCTGCTCCGCTCCACAGGAAAGGGTGGTCAAGGGCCTGGGCACCCAGGAAGTGAAAAGGCAGGGGTCGGCGCCGGAGACCAAGGAGGCCACAGACCCAGCAGACGGCCAATAGCAACCAGGGCGGAGGGGGACGCTGCGCACCCTGGGGAAGGGGGCGGGGCATAGCCACCAGGAAGTGACGTCTCGGGGGCGGTCCTCGGCGGCGCGCGGCCTGGGCTCGCGCTGGGCTCCGCGCGCCCCCCGCCCCCTCTATGAGGCAGAGGCCGCGGCGGCCGTTAGCGCTGTCGCTCCGGGGGCCGCGGCGGGCGGGGCTCCGGCGGGGCCCGGCCTAGTCCCCACCCAGCCCGGCTCCCAGCCGCCCGCCCTCCCTCCCTCACCCCGATGCAGGGGGCCGAGCTCCGGGACGGCGAGGCTGCGGCGGCGGCGGCCGCTTCGTACCGGGTCCTGAGCCGCCTCCTCGGCTATGGAGAGGCGGCCCCCGAGCCAGGCCCGCCGCCGCCGCCCCCGGGCCATGGCCCGTCGCCTCCACCGTTCCTCGCGCGGCCCGGCCCGCGGGGTGCCCGGCCGCCGCAGCTGATGGTGTTCCGCAACGTGGGGCGGCCGCCGGAGGAGGAGGACGCGGAGGCGGCCTCGGAGCCGGGACCCTCGGAACTGCTGTGTCCCCGGCACCGCTGTGCACTGGATCCCAAGGCCCTGCCGCCGGGCTTGGCGCTCGAGCGGACCTGGGGTCCCGTGTCTGGACTAGAGGCGCAGCTGGCGGCTTTGGGGCTCGGGCAGCCGGCGGGGCCGGGGGTCAAGACTGCCGGCGGAAGCTGCTGCCCGTGCCCGTGCCCCCCGCAGCCCCCGCCGCCGCAGCCCCCGCCGCCTGCTGCCGCCCCGCAGGCCGGGGAGGACCCCACGGAGACGAGCGACGCGCTGCTGGTCCTAGAAGCCTTGGAATCGGAGGCCGAGAGCCTGGAGACTAACAGCTGTTCAGAAGAGGAGCTCAGCAGCCCGGGCCGTGGAGGAGGAGGGGGTGGCCGGCTTCTGCTACAACCCCCGGGCCCCGAACTACCCCCGGTGCCCTTCCCGCTGCAGGACTTGGTCCCTCCAGGGCGCCTGAGCCGAGGGGAGCAGCAGCAGCAGCAACCTCCCCCACCGCCGCCGCCTCCCGGGCCCCTCCGGCCCCTCGCGGGCCCTTCTCGAAAGGGCTCCTTCAAAATCCGCCTCAGTCGCCTGTTTCGCACGAAGAGCTGCAACGGCGGCTCGGGCGGTGGGGATGGGACCGGCAAGAGGCCTTCTGGAGATCTGGCAGCTTCAGCTGCGAGCCTCACGGACATGGGAGGCTCTGCGGGCCGGGAGCTGGACGCGGGGAGGTGAGAATGGCTGGTGGGGGGCAGGCGACAAACTTCCATTTCTCGTTTCGTTTCTCTCCTTTCCCTAGTGCTAACACAATACTGTCAGTTGTCAGGCTGTGGACTACTGGAGACGGCAGACACTTGGGACTAAAGGTGGTGACATCTCGCATTAGATCAGAGCTAATTGTGGAAACAGCTTTCACTGTTGGAGAGTTCACACTCGGTGACACTTCTCAGTGGGTTAGCATCTCTTGCTAGGACTGATTTATAGAGCCCTGCCTGTACTGGCCCCACTTTTTAAGACCCCACCCCCCCTTCCTGCGTCTGTCTACCATTACTTACACTGCTGGGAGGTTGTTGGAAATGCGTGGCCTTGGGGCCAAAAAGCTAGTGTCAGCTACCTGCCTATTATTATCTTGACCATCTTGTTTCCCTCTGTGCACCTGCCCCCACTCTCTTCACACGCCTATGCGGGCAAAATGGCCTGGGGAACCTGGCCAGCAATCAGCTGGGCATCTCCTTTCTTAATATCTTCCTGGTTATTTCTTGATATTTGCTATCTAAAGCGTGTGTGCTGACCACGTTCCGAGAATAGCGCTATGCTTGCTCTCTCACTTTCACACAGATGTTGAGAATTCTTAGTGAGGAATACACATTGAATTCTAGGACAGTTAATGACAATTCTAAACTTAGACTCTGAGTTTTTCCCCCTGAATTTCCAGAAAGTGATGGACTTTTGACATAAGGGCAGAGTTCTGTAGTGTCAGTTTAGGAAGCTGTCCGCACTTACAGCCACTAGTGAGCCTTACTTGTACAACTGTGGTGGTGAGTTCTCGTTCTGACTCCTCTTAGACTTGAATTGGTGGCTTTTGTTTTGTTTTGAGATGAGGTTTTATTATGTTGATCAGGCTTTCTTTGAATCCACTAAGTAGCCCAGACTAGTCTAGATCTCTTGGTCTTCCTATTTCATCCTGCTGAGTCCTGAGTCAGCCTCTCCAGTGCCAGAATTATAGGCCTATTGCCACCATGCCTGGCTGGAATTAGTCTTGCTGTGGTTTATATGATGTATTCTTGAAACATACTGACAGTGACAAACCAAAGCCAAAAAGCAGACAAATCGATAACTTTGCTGAGAACTAGAATCTCCTGGGGATAGGGGTGAAAGATAAGTAGATCTGGGGTTCAATTAGCAATTTTTAAAATTTATTTTTATTTTATGTGCATTGGTGTTTTGCCTGCATGTATGTCTGTGTGAGGCTGTCGGGTCCCTGGAACTGGAGTTATAGTTGTGAGCTGCCCTGTGGGTGCTGGGGATTGAACCTGAGTCCTTCAGAAGAGCAGCCAGCGCTCTTAACTGCTGAGCTACCTCCAACCCCTACTATTTGAAGTTTTTAATGCTCCCCAATTGATTCTGGATACAAACCACTCATTCTTGGATGTGGAATCTGAAGGGAACTTGAATACTCCAAGATAAAAGGTGTAAGTTCCATTCGGCCATGTTGCCCTTTATGAATAGCTGTGCCATGCACAAACCCCAAATTCCTGGTATCCTTGGTTGTACCCCAGTGTGGTGTGTTGTCCCTTTAGATAGGGCTTGTCCTTTTTTTTTTTTTTTTTTCTGAGAGCTCAAGTCTTGAAAAGTGTTGTTGGAACAGTCCCCCCAAGCCCCTCAATGGTAGGTTTCTGTATTTGATGCTCCATTTACCAATAAGGGTGAAATTTGCATCAGCTGAGGGTGGACGGCAAGATTGAAGCTGTGGGTAATGACAGGATGGATTGCTAATTTTCTTGTGGTTTGTCTTGCCTTTGTTCCACATTGACCAGGACTTGGTCTAAGATTCCTGAGACGCCGAGTATGAGGTGTTGCGTGAAATTAGCTGCTACGTCTAATAGATTAGGAAGTGGAAAAGGCATATAACATTGTACGGATTTTTGCCTTTGGAAGCAGAATTTAATGGTCATTGGCTGCTCTATCACCAACCCTCACACTAAGCACAATACAAATTTCTGCTGCAGAGCAAATTAGGCTGTACCTCTGCAAAGAAGCTTAGTTCAGGGCACTGGAGAAATAACATTTTTTGGTCCAAGAGCTTTTTCTGATGAATTGGAGAAGAGCTAGGTATTTGTGTGTAAACATTTGGTTGACTGCTATTTGGAGGCAGCATGTTGTATAGAGAATTGGGACAGTCTGGGTTCCATTTGGAACTTCAACATTAGCTGTGAGATGGAGGGCAGATTTATCATTTTCATCCTTACCTTTTTCATCTGTGAAATGGGACCACTGTGAATTGTTCGTGTCCTTATAGGAATAGAAGGAAGATGAGAAACTGGATGGGATATTTTGTGCTTTTTGGAAGAGAAGTGATAAGATTGAATTGATACTTTTTTTTTTTTCCTGTGCTAAGCTTTGGTGCTGCTTGCTAGCTTTTCCATGTGTGTTATGTGCCAGTCGTCCTGGCAGCCTCGAAATTGTGAGAACCTTAGTAAGTCTGGCTAGGGTACTTGTGATTTCTGTGGGTCTGCGTCTCCTAAGCAAGCCCTCCCTTGTTGGGAAGAACAGTAGCTTGGATTTTCACTTGTTCTCCTGTTTTAAATGGTAATACCTGAAGCACTGAGAAATGTCAGTCCTTTGCCAGAGTTATGAGGCTTCCACATCATTGTTGGTTGAAGTTAATTATGGGCCTCTGCTGGCTTTGCTATGTAATTTGGGGCATTTAATGGTAACCTCTAGGCATAATTCTCTTTCCTCTTGTCAACATCTACCTTTGCCATCTACATGTTTCCCACAGCTATCGCTTTCGATGAGAAGGTATTTCCTAGCAATCATTTTTATAAAGCATAGCAGTCTGCATGCTCTGTTGGTGAACAACTCGGTTTTTTTCACATACTTTGAATTGCTTAAGTGGACCTGCCCAGATTATACCAAGTCTGAAGAGAATGGGGAGATGATGGCTTAGAAGTTGAGAAACTTGCTGACCTTGCAGAAGACTGGAGTTTGGCTCCTATACACCCAGGTTGGGTAGCTCTGAACACCTGTAACACCAGCTGCAGGGCATCCAGTGCCCTCTTTAGATCTCAGCAGGCACATGTACACATGCCCGCATGTACATACACACACATGTAAAAGCTATAAATCTTGGGCTGGAGAGATAGCTCAGTGGTTAAGAGCCCTGACTGCTCTTCCAGAGGTCCTGAGTTCAATTCCCAGCAACCACATGGTCGCTCACAACCATCTGTACTGAGATCTGGCGCCCTCTTCTGGCATGCCGGCATACATGGAGGCAGAATGTTGTATACATAATAAATAAATAAATAAATAAAATCTTTAAAAAAAAGCTATTAAAAAAGCTTTGAAAATAAAGAGAAATATGAGGGTCAGCAAGATAGCTCAACAGGTAAAGGTGTTTGCTGCCAAGCCTAATGTCGATTTTGAGCCAATCTCTGGGACCTACATGGTTGAAGGAGAGAACTGACTCTCATAAGTTGTCCTCTGACTTCCACATGCCTGCTGTTGCACATATGTACCCACTCCAGACCTCTTAAATAAATGCAGCTGGGCATGGTGGCACTTGCCTTTAATCCCATCACCCAGGAGGTAGAGGTAAGCAGATCTCTGAGTTTGAGGCCAGCCTGGTCTACATAACGAGTCTTAGGTCAGCCAGAGCTATATAAGAAGACTCTGTCTCTTTTTAAAAGATTTTTTCAATTAAATAAAATAATAATCATAATAAAATAGTATGAGTTAGCTTTGAGAATTCTTTAAAGTAAGATTGAGCCTGCCAGCTAATCAGGTTTTTGTTCTGAGGAGCTGGGCTAGGCCTTATACCACACATATGTCAGAATTCAGAGAGCTGGGCTTCATGCCTGTGGGCCTTGGTATAATATAGGACTTTGCTATTTCAGGAAAACCAGTGGAGTTCCCTTGTCTGTTTCACATATGTTGAGCTAATTGTCTTCCTTCAGATTTTGTGGAATAAAACCAAAAAAAAAAAAACCCTCATCTCTGCCCTGTTTGAATCATCAGATAGTAGTAACGCTCAGTTGGGAACAGGTACCTTGTTCTCAATATTGTGTACTGAGCTGAACAGTTGAGGCTCTTCCTGGCAGTCTTTATGGTTGTGTAGTGGAGAAATGGAGAGCAGTTCTCTAGTGATTTTTGATTTGTTTGGGGGAGAAGGTGCAGTTCTGGATGGAGAGGCTTCTTTGGCATAAGTTTGGGGCCCTGCTGTCATGGGTAGACTTGGCCAACATCAGAAACTTATTGTTTCTTTGGGTCTTCAGATCCAGGGGGAAGGGGTGTATTTTGCTGTTGTTGTTTTTGTTTCTTTATTCTTACTTGGGATTTTATTAAGTAAGATTTTTTAAAAATGTGTATGTATGTATGTGCACATATATGTAGGTGCCCAGTGAGGTCAGAAGAGGACATTTGATGCCATCTGTCTGGTGGTGTTACAGGCAGTTGTGAGCTGCCCTGCTTGGGTACTGGGAACCAAACCTCTTCCAGGTCCTCTGGAAGAGCAGCAAGCAACAGCTGATCACCCTCTCCACACACACACCTGTTTGAGAAAGTCTCACAATGCAGTCTGGTCTGGTCTTGAACTCACCATGTAGCCCAGCCTGGCTTCCAATTTTCCTGCCTCAGTCTCCTGAGTTCTGGGATTATAGATGTATACCATTATGCCAGGCCTCATATAACCCAAGATGACTTCAGACCACTGTGTATGTGCTTAAGGCGGGTCTTGATCTGATTCTCCTGTTTCTATCTCCTGTGTGCTGGAATCACAGCCGTGTGTTTACCGTAACAGTCAGGCTCAAAGGGGCCATTTTTAATGATGACATGACATGCTGAGAGCAAGGCAGTGGTGTGGTGTGGTGAGTTATGTTTGGGTTTTTGTTTCATATTCTGTTGACCTTTTAAACTATCTTTTTAAAACTGCTTATGGTTGTCAGCTCTCTCAGAATAAGCTCTCTGGCTTTAAAATTTTTGTCTGTCCACTTGAGTCTTGTGCCTTTAATATT